TGTGTGTGTGTGTGTGTGTGTGTGTGTGTGTGTGTGTGTGTTTGTGTGTGCATGTGTGTGTGCTCGCACACACTCGTGCACTTTGTGGTTCAGGGGTAAGTCATGAGCATTTTGAGAACCATTAAGACTAGAACAATATTCGTCATTGCCTTCCATCTCTTTGTTCCAACTTAAAGAGGAGTAGTCAATAGATAATTATTGTGATAATTGGTACATTCATTACAGTACGGGTAAGGTCACACTCAGGTTTTTGGAACCCAGTTTGGTGTCAGGCGTTAGGCAATAATTGAGGATTTTCAGATAAGATAAGATACTTCTTTATTGTCCAGATCCTGGCACATTGGTTTGGTGTTTCACCACTTCCACACAAACACACACGCACACACACACACACACACACTCTCTCTCTCTCTCTCTCTCTCTCTCTCTCTCTCTCTCTCTCACACACACACACACACACACACACACACACACACATACACACACTCGCGCACGCACGCGCCTGTCCTCGAGCGCAGTATGCTTGCACTCACCAACAGGCTTACAGTCACATGCATAATATAAATGAACAACAATATTAACAATAATAATGTTAAGCAAGATACACACTCAATATTCTGATTGTAACTCAGTAGTATTCTGATCCATGTTCTAAGGTCATTATATGAATATTAATGACAAGATGGTTAAGATGGAAGAAGTTTGAATAAATTTAGAGTCCAGTCACAATAGAAAAATGCTAAATAGAATGGAAGTTTTCTTGAAGTCCTGTCTCAAAGAGAGCCCATACAATGCTTAAAATAAATTTTGTCTCGCTTTCTCAAAACGTACACTTCATGACATCAAACGCTAAAATCTCAAAAACTGTTTAATATAAAGACATGAAATTTGGAGAGTATGTGCGCCGTGCAATTTTAAATAAAATAGTCCTGATGCTTTTAAGTTTAAAAAAAAAGTTAAATGATTTTTAACATGTTATTTTAACTGTTTTCATTATTTGCTAAAAGGTAACTCTTCTGAAGGTAATACGATCATTATGCTTACAAATTCAAGAATAGCTAGTTCATTTTATTAAGATTTGTGTGCTAAATATTTCGTAGATAGCATGGATGGGTTGTTTTTTTAGGGTTTGAAAATGGTACTTCAGACAGCCTGGCTTTTCTCTAATTTACAATTTCTATAATAACGTAACTGATAATGATTCAAAAAACATTTTAGACTTTTGAAAGGAATCCTTTTTTATATAAGTGTTTCACAGCACTTGCAACTGCATTATGGTCAAATGCGCGCGCGGACACATTAAACATTTTCAGCTGGTAGGAAATTTTGAATTTTGCCCGAGTGGCGGCCGAAGCCTACTCTTATCGATTATGGATAACCAAGGGATCTTTAATATGCGCAACTTGCACGTGGGACATCCAAGATTTTTCGCCCTTGTCCAAGAAGGCTAGGTGTAGATCTTTTCTACCATAAGATCAGAGAGTAGCATTAGAAAAGCAGCAGAAAGAGTCAGGAGCCCAGAGGAAGGGGCAAAGGTGGTGAGGTGTGGGGGTAGAAAGTGGAGGCGAAAGCAGACGACAAAATATTGCTAGAGAGCAGGAAAGGAGGTGAAAGGAGACACATTTAGAGAAGAAAAATTTCCGTCGCTCTTTGGAATTGAACCCAGGATCTATTGAATGAGAGGGGAACACCTTAACCTGTAGGCCACGAAGGTTGAAGGACTTTGAGAAAATGAGAAGTAAAAACCCAAGTAATATCATTCATTGGTAGATGATAACGGTAATAAACAGTGTTTATTCAGTTGACCCAGTTTACCTTTGTCCCACTTCTCCCCATTCTCCCTTACGACATACGAGTATAAGGAGCGAGGCTAAAAAAAGTAACACAGCAAAAGTAGTCCAAATATCGGAATATTTAGTCCTTCATCCTCAATTGCACCGACGATATTTATTCCAATGCTCGGGCGTGTTCTGGTACAATAGAGGTTTTTGAAAAGAGAAAACGGTTATTTTCCTCCCTCCCAAGTTTTGATCGACAGTGGCTACTTTCGTGTAAAATAACAGTAGACAAATTTATTTATTAAAATGACAGTATTATGCTCTAACTAAAGCGTTACGTATCATTATATTGAAATATAAACCATGAATCACCGAAAACAAGACGATCGGAATTGGGTCGGGATGTGCAAAACGGTATCGAATACTATCGATATAGCCATGACTCAGGCCACTCCTCGCATTCGGGGAACCAATGGATATAAAAGGCGCAGAGCAAACCCACTATAGCACAGCCTTAGCGCTATCTCTTGTGTGGACAAGTGGCCTTATCGCAAGTAAGGTAAGGACACATTTTATTTTCCGGTCACCTATCTTTCTACGCTTAGCCCGTAGATCCTTGGGGAGTTCTGTTTGTGTTTTCATACAAAGGCGTCTTTTCCCGACACCATGCATTGATTTTAAAGCCTGACTTTAGCACACTGCAAGGTCATGCTGTTTTTCAAATTAAACAAATTAATCAAAGCAGCTGGTCTTCTCGGGTCCTTGGCGTTCGATCGTGTCGACGTCCTTCTTTAAAAAAGTTTCTGCTTTGATTCTCCCAAAGGGCAAACGATGTTTCTGTACACCATCGCCTATCTCGCAGAATTAATGGATTAGTTTGGGTACATAATATGACCCCAAATTTAAAATATTTTAGCCAACATTACAATTTGCACCTGCAGAATTTTCCTTTGCAACAATTTCGGCTGTATCGATATAGCTTGTTCCGACTGCAATGCAACTTTCCTCCATAAGTTAAGTTCACTTTTCAGAGTGTTCTTTTTCAGTTCATTTAGTAAGTGCTTACTTATACCATCTATCAAAAATTTGTGACAAGGACAGTGCATTTTATTCTAAACATATTAAATGCAACATCACGTGCTGAAGAAAGGTGGAAAAATACCTGTTAACTCATCACCAGGTCGTGTCAGCCGCCATCTTTGACATAATGTTATGGAAAGAGCTGCGATAATAAATCACATTAACAATAATTTTAATTTGTATAGCGCTCTTCCTTATTCTACGGCAAGCTCTATGCGCTTAACAAATATCAAAGGAATAAGTTTTTTAAATGGACCTACCTTTATTGTTTAAAGATATGTCGCCCCATTCAATTAGCGAGCAACTCGGAACTACAATGTAGAGAGATGGAATCTTGTTCTTATTAGATGGTCCTTTCCTGCTGATTCATGTTACTTTCTAGAGGTCTGTTTTTACAGAAATATGATTTTGCCTTGCTGTTGTCATATATGAATTTACAGTCTACAGTATATATATATTGAACGCCATTAAAAACGCAAAGCTTTTAAAAGGCTATAAGTCAGTATAAATGTCAATGATGGCCATACATTTTACTAACGGTGAGGGTTCTTTATTAAGTTTCGATTTGTGCTTATCTGCAAATTTGTCTAAAGGGGGGTATTCCGAAAGAAGGAAGACAATATTATACATGTATCAAAATAAACAACTCTTTTAATCTATCTTCATTTGTTACAAACATGAACTGACTCTGCGAATGATAGCCAGGTTTTTTCAAAGGCCAAAGAGCAGCTGCCATTACTATTCTCGGTCTAGGAATACAAACTGTTTTTAGGTGAATATAGTGCACGCAGTAATTTATGCAAATTTTGATTACGGTTGATATTTCATGGGTGCTTCACTGCAAGTGCAATGTATTTTGGCATAAATATATACAGTCCTAGAAAAGCCAATGGTTTAGCATACACATTCCAGAACTATCAAATAGTCAGTCGTTTCAAACGCAGCACTGAAATCTAAAAACTGAAAGGATAGATCATTTCCCATTGTCAGCTTTTGTAAAAAGATAATTTTGAATTCTTTGAAGTGCAGTCTCACTATTATGAAACTCTTTATAAGCCGATTAGAAAATCTACAATAGGTTGTTGTCACTGAGATGAGCTTTAATACGGGCCAATACAATATTTTCTAATTTTATTATCTCGAAGTAGAAGTACATTATATTCCTCGTAAATACGAGTTCTACCCCCCCCCCCCCCCTGCGGTACCACAACGCAAACCAAGTTCTGTTTGCCCCACTCCACACCTGTAAATTCCTATCGTCCAAGATAATTACTGTCTCGCACCAAAGTATCTGTTGAGTTTCAGAGCACAAGGTTGATGATAGTTAATACGGCGAGTGCACCCTACCAATAGAATTCATTTGGTTGAGTTGGGGCCAGCCAGATTTTCTGCTTCGTGGGGGGGGGGGGGGGGGGGGGAGGGGGGGGGGGCGAATTTACCTCAACTAACTGTGAGCTTCCAAATCTAATTTTAATGCATTAATTATTTTTCAAGGTCGCGAGTCGAAACGTTTGTATTGTACAAAAATAGTAGTTTTGGTCTTTCTTTAGAGGAAAATCTGATGGGCTTAGATTCAGATTGATTGAATCAGATTGGCAGTGTGCACTGGGTATTACAATTTTCTCTCTCAAATTTACTCCTCACTTACAACAAAAAAGACTGACTAGTACGTCCTGTCTCTCGAAACAGGAACCCAAAACTTGTAGGTTGCGTGTATGAATTCAGCACGTTCTGAAAACCTTGACTGTTGGGTGTCAAAGAAGAGTAGCACGCTGTAATGGCCTCATTATGCAGTTTCGAGCACTGTCCAACGTTTTTTCAAATAAAACTGAAAGAAAGCATATCCTTGCTGGTGGCCCGTCTCTGCTGTTTTATGTAACTGCGCGAAACGCGTTAACCGCCTTTTAGTGACCCCCCATTCTCCCCTTGCTCCCAGTTTTATACGTCCTTTCTGTGGGCCCTTAAGGTTTAAGAACACGCTTTTGACATTTGACCTCATTTGACAAGGCAATCAAGGGAGCAGATATGTTTTATAAAATGTTCACGTATAAAACGATGCATCATGACTACTTTTTAAATATGTTTTTTCAACTTTTATCCCCAGGTTCTCAGATTTCCCTGTGCGTGCCCCAGAACTGTATTCTGAGCTTCTTCAAATTCAAAGCATCTTCTTACGGAGGATTGAATACGATTTGGTGACCATTATTTCCCATCGCAATTGTGTGCACAAGCTACAAATTAGACATTCTAAAACAAAAAGATAGTGATAAACATGACGGCACAGGTCGACATTGAAGCTCTGTCAGATGCCACCAAAGCTTTGGCGGTTATTTTTATTTTAGGAATTCTCGCATCCAATATTTTTTTGCTGTTCAAGTTTCTCCGTAAAGGACGGTTACTCCAGAGTCAACGTAAATTCCTAGTTATGACCCTCGCTGGGGGTGACATTTTCCTGGCTTTGTTTTCTTTGGTTATCTTAGCTCGTCGTGCTTTTGAAAACGTATTCTATATCTCGTGTAATACAGATGTAGTTTCTTCAATGTATGCAGAATGTTTCCTCCCGTTTGTGTATGGGGTTGGTATAATTGTCCTCTGTGGGGAACTCGGTTTCCGGAAAAAACTTCGCTCTTTGATTCCCAGTCCTTACGTGTCGTCCATACTGGTGGCCGCGGTACCTTGGATTGCTGGACTCATCCTGATATTGCCCTTATATTTGGCTGGCTTTGATTATGTGAGCTGTTCGTATGGTGATTCCTTGACAGCTGATCGGGCAAGGGCTATTTTTGTCTTTGGCATCGTCCTTCCTTCAGCCCTGGCTGTGATCTTCGCTCTCATGACCAGTTGTAGGAAAGGTGATGCAATATCTGAGTATTACGACTCTCCTCAATCTCAAGGTGTCGTGTTTAGTCAGGCAGTGACAACACATAACGCTCAAGGATTCCCACAACAGCAGTACTATCCAGGACCTCCACAACAACAGTACTATCCAGGACCTCCACAACAACAGTACTATCCAGGACCTCCACAACAACAAAACCATCCTGTGCCACCACCACCAACAGCACAACAGCCATACTACCCTGCCTCTCAGCCACCGGCTTACGTAAGTGGTCCACAAGACGCTGGTCTCAAACAACCCGCCTACCCTCCACAACCGATGCCCCCTACACAAGCTGTGATCCAAACACCAGTGAGCTCGACACAGCCACGCTCAGATCAACAACTGTTGGCCACAGTCAGGAATGAGCAAAGTACCCTGGTCCTAGTTGCTGTTCTATACGCTGTTTTGTCATTGCCGTTTGCCCTCTTCATACTTGGCTACAATCTGAACAAGGACCGTGCTTCTCTAGATCCAATTCCCAAAGCAATAATGTCAAACTTATTTCAGTGGATGCTTTATCTCCGCTCCATCGTGACTCCTATTGTTTGGATAATCAAGGAGAAAACTTTTGCTTGAAAAGAAAGCAAAACATAATTTCTCTATTGTCAGTTGCAGTGATGTAGTTAGTTAGAAATCAAACAATCTTATAGAACATAGTAAATATTTTTTATTCCGCAGGATGCCCTAAAATGGAACAAGGTGCTCCGCTCGAAAAAAGAAATGACTTGACTAAACACACATATGTCAGTCTTTAGTGCGTTACATGACAATAATGAAAAGCAGAAGTGCGAACAGCTAGCTTTACTCCCGTTGTACGAGTAGGTCGCCGTCATTTTGAAAACATCTTACATTATTGGCCACAGAATAAATCTGTCGCTCGAAGTAGACCCAGTTCGCTCCCCAGGGAGGAAAAACATTTTATCGAGTATTTTGGTGCTTCTGTTGGGATGTTATATCCTTTTCAGCCCAGCTTTTCAGCCCAGCTTTTCAGCCCAGGTTGGCCCTGGCAGACAGGGTCGAAATATTCCGCCTTCGAAATCAACTAAATTGTATGGATTTAATTATTTTAAAAAAAAATTATTTTTTTTGGGGGGGGG